AAGCTGTTGTTTTTCTTAAAAAGGTAATAGCAGAACTGTATGTAAGAGYAGCACTTGCAAAATAGTAGGATATTCTGAAAATTACTTGGGATGGGGGATGACTCAGCAGCACTCAAATTTGTAATTTTTTAACTCTGCTATTATAGATACTGTAGCAATAAAAAGTATAGAAAGAGTATCAGCGCTAAATCCTTTTTCCCATTTTAAGTGACTGCATGTGTTAGACGCTGTGTAGCTTTAAATGTACACGTTTATATACTTACATATTTATTTGTGTATGCACACCCCCTTGGTGTCACCCCTCTCCCTCATTCTGCCTCCTGTGTGTGTGTTCAGGAATGGAAGAGCCACACTGCGCTTGCCACACGCCATCAAAGCAAGTGGGAGGTTTAACCTCTTTAACAGCTCAAGTGCTATTTCACACTTCAAATAACCCATTATTTTTCACAATGGTTCTCTGAAGAGCTTTTGGCTGCCCACATCTTATGAGCCTGTTAATTAAAGCATGGTATCAGAGCCATTCATGGAAAGAAGCAGTCACTTTACAGGTAGTCAGGTAGATTAGGTTTTTCCTTGCCTAGGAGTTAGTAATTGTGAAATCTTTCGTGTTGTGAGCTCTAAGACTGAGAAGCAGCACCAGTTTAGTTGTATTTAAGGGGTGTCAGCTTAGAAGAGAACTTGGGTGGCTCTTCAGCCCTCTATTCTAGGCTGAGGTCAGCTAGATCACCCAATAAATATTTATATAAGCTCTCCCAAGGGCTTCTGGAGCTGGACGTGCCTGATTTGTCCAGGCAGCCTTTGTYCCACAGAGTGACTCGTCTCCAGAAAGAAGATCTTTGAGCACAGGCCTGAGATTCTTTGTTAAAGGATAAATCACTTTTTTCTTCACTTCCCATTTTCTTGGGTCCCTGACCAGAGTACAGAACATCAGGTGCTGACTCACCTTTCCTGTCACTAAGTCCCTCATACATACTTTTTCTTCATTTTTCTCCCCTAAGCCTGTCCTCAGAGCTTTCTTTATTTATCCATACTCTGGTGTGATGGCCAGAATTGTCCTAGCACTTGACCTAGAGAAGCTCAAGCCAAAAAGGTTGAAAGTTACATTTTACATTTATATTTATGTTGTCACAGCAATAGAATACTTTTTCCCAGATTCCCCTTCCCTTTTTTTGGCAGGAGTATGTCAGCCTGTGACATTGTGGCCTTTACATGCTTTTTGCCATTGTTGCTGCCTGTCTAGAAGGGTTTGGTGTTGCTTTGAGGTTTTGTGTTGCTGCCTCTGATCTCCTTCACCCTAGCAGCAGTGTCAGGGATCCCTTCAGGAACTCTGTTTTATTCAGGCTGGAAGCTGGCTGAAAGAAAGATTGTTGAAAAGCAATGGCTTAACCTAGTGTTACAGACCAATTTCCCAGTTTTATTTGAGAAAAAATATTGCCTTAAGTACAGTGAGAATTTGCAGTGACAGTGTGTCCTCCTCTGGAGGTTCATTGCTTAATTCTTGTTGATTCATATTTATTCTCTTCTTGTCATCCAAGCTTTTCTGAATGGTTTGCTTGGTAAATGTTTTCAGCATCTCTTCTGGCTTTCAGAGTTTCCACCTGGTGCATTGAGCTCCTGAGCAATGGCCTTCCCCAGTCTGATAAATCTTCCTTATGAATTTCCAGAATTTGTAATTAAGCTCTCACTACTTTGGGGTACTTCAAGTGATTTTTAGTTCTGTGAAACTGAGCCTTCCAGGATTTCTTCACCTGCTATTTGCTTTTCCTTTTCACGTTGATGTTTGCCACCATTGTTTTCTTCTTCTCATGTTGCAGTTTCCATTTTACTTGCAGATTTCTGAGGTACACACAGTGAGACTACGTAACTGATTTTTGACCAGGTTTTTTGTTTTGTTTTACTAATGCGCTTTCTGASTTCTGTCACAGCTCTTTCAACAATTACATGAATAGTGCCCTGCTAACTTGACAAATGAGTTTCCAAAGGTGGTGTTTTTCTTACCAGATTAGAACCCAGGTATCAGCCCTTTCTGGAAATCCATCCTCTAACTCAAGAGCACCTGAGGTCCTCTGGTCAGCTCCTGTGCAAAGACTGATCTCAGTTAATTACCCCACACTGCAGGTCACCCAGCAGCTCTGCTGGCAGGGTGGGGTAATTAACAGGGATCAGTCTTTGCTTAATTAGTGTTATCCTGTAACCTGTTCCCTGACTTCTGAGTCCCTTCTGAGGTGGTTTTGGGATTCCTGTGCAGGGAGTATCTGCTGGTGGGTAGCAGTGGTCCTGGGTGCCTTGCTGTGGGTTTGCCTCCCCTCTCACATGAGAGCTGTGTGTTTCCTGTGCCCCAGGCTGGATTTGGGGCTGCTGTGCACTCACAGGGCACCAGGGCTGACACAGCACCCTGCAGCACCCGCTTCTGATTTCAGGCAGGACCCACAGGGATGCAGCTGCAGGAAAATGGGAATCAGCACCGATCTCACTGGTTCTCCCTTCTGGCTCCACCCTCTGGGGATCCCTGACAGCTCAAGGGTCACYCCACTCTCCCTGTGCAGCATCTCCTGACTTTCTCTGCCTCCTGCTCAGTCAAACCCTTGCTGTTTGGCATGTCAGCCCTCCTGCCAGGGGGTGTCTGGGCCAACCATGCCGAGGTGTGAGCAGGGTGTGCCACAGCTGCGCAGCAGCTCTGTGTCAGGAGGTTGGGTATTGTGCTGGTTGCCAGGCAGCACTTTTAATATTTACCTCCACGCCTGACACACGTCCCCACACTGCTTCACGCCTTCTGTGCTCCCTCTGTGGGCAGAAACATCTGGGCACAGCTGGCAGCAGCACAGGGTCCTGGGGCCGGGAGTGCCGGAGCAACGCGTGGTAAGAGGCTGATCCCTGGAGCCAGGCTGGTGGTGAAATGGTGGCACAGTGGTGACCAGAGCAGCCAGAGGAGTTGGAGCTCAGGGGTTGTGAGTGTGGGAAGCTTGGCAGAGACTGAGAGAGGCTGCAGATCCCAGTGGCTGAAGGGCTGGGAGAACAAGGACCCTGCTTCTTCCCCCAAGTGGTTGTTTTTTGGGAGAGAGTGGGAAGTGGTGGGCTCTTGTTGTGGAACCCAGGCAGGAAGTGGTGGGAGTGAAGCGAGGCGCTCTGTGGTGGCTCCTGTGCTCTTCCCACCTGTCCTGCTTTTCCCCTCTGGCTCCTCAGGTCTTTGTTCCCCTGGGTCAACCCTGAGTGTCCCCAGGGATGGTGGTTTGGTGTTCTCCACAGCTGCTGGTCAGCAGCCGTGCTTTGAGCTGTTTCCTCTTTYCAGACTTCTCTTCCTCCATGAGTACCTCCATCCTTCACCTCTTTGCTTCTGCTGGTCACTGCCCTTCAGCTGTACCGGGCAGAAAGAGGCAGCTGGGGTTTTGGGAGGTGTTTACTCGTTCCCGCAGGTTTATGCTGGGACATGGGTAAGGATTTTTCAGTGCATTGTAAGACGGTAGTGTGGTAGAAATTTTCTGAGGGTGGGAAGGGAGAAGGGCTCAGATAAATGTTTTTATTACTAAACAGACAGGGACTAGGGTGACTAATATGAAGGTGTAGAACAGATACTTATTTGTTAGTCATGCAGAAAGAATTCAGATTAATTTCTTGRAGAAGAAAGAAAAGGAGAGGAAAAACTGTTAAAGAGCAAAGTAAGAAAAATACCGTGTTGACAGCAGGTTACCTGATGGAGTTAGTGGAAATATGTTAAAAGGTGATTAAAAGTTCTCTGCCCTGATGTGCGAGGCTCTGTACATTCCTCAGTATATCTCAGCCCATACAAAAGTTCCCATCTATTTAGCAGTCAATCTGTAGGTATATGGAAGCAGAACTACTTTTTACTTTTTTTTGCAGTGTAACGAGTACAGATTGTCTATAAAATAGATTTAGAATATTAAAACCTCTCACTCAGGTGTGAAAGAGAGCAACCAGCCGGGTGGGGAGACCATGCTGTCATCATCATAGTGTGCTTTTGAAATTCTGTAATACAGAATAACAGTCTCTGTTGCTGAGGAATGTTTGTACTGCAAAAAGTTAGGAAAATAAAAAAATTTCCATGTGGAAGTAAGAAGTCACCCTGGAGAGTGGAGTAGTAATACGGTTTCTGAGTTAATTCAAACAGCATGTCTGTTCTCATGCAGCAAGTGGCGCGATAAACAGAAACAATGTAAAAAAATGGAAGATAAGAGTAAATGTAAAAAAAAATTGCTAACTTGTGCTGTTATCCTAAATATGACCTGTGGATGTGTTACTGTGACAGAGATAGCAAATCACAGAATCATAGGATGCAGTTTTGAGCTTATACAAAAATAAAAAGTGCACCTTTGAGCAGAGGATCATGAAGCAGGAATAGAGGAGTAGTATTACTTGTGTATGAAGTATTGATGAGACAACTGAAGTATTCATTTCTGGGCTTTGAAATTTGATACAGCCACAAGAAAATAAACACCATGCTGTTCTTGGATTGACATCCCTGAAGCCAGGAAAATGACCATGTCCTTTGTAGGGTTCCAAAAAGATCGGATGACACGTAGGAACATTGGGGGGCATGTGTTGCATATTATTCCTTTTTACCTCAACATATTTGAGTTTGCTACTTTAGCATTAAACATTTTGTGTAATGAGCTAGTAAATCTAAAGGCACATTTTTTGTTAAAAAAATTCAGAAAGAACGGTGGATGAATCCTGTGCTTCAGTATGAGAGCAGAACTTGAGTTTGTCTTGATATTTCATGGAAAATTTGCTGTCAGTACATATCAGAGGAGAAAAAATAAGGTTTTAAGAAGGTCTGTGGGCTTCATCAAACTGTCATAATTCTACATCTGTGTATTGTAGAAGTACAGGTCAGATAAAAGAGCTAAAATAGTAACTCCAATTTTCAAAAATAATTTATTCTTATTTTGAGCTGGGCATCTAAAATTACTTTGGTTTCTTTATGCTTGCTTAATACAATTATGTGTAACAAAATTAAAGTTGTTGTTGTTTTTTTCTCTCAGAAGCAGTCTCCTTCTGCGGATGCATCAAAACCACAAATTATGAAGCCGTCTGAAACCAGGGTAAGAATTTCAGAAAATCATGCTTGCATGACACATATATAAAGCCATGGAATTTCCTTATTAACACTTTSATGCTGAGTAACTTTACCTATATTCTGCATACGTAGTTTAGTTTCCTCTGCAAAAAAAATCTTTAAGATTGCTGTTCAAAGCACGAAGAGGTTTTTATGACAGCGATAAAAAGAAAATTAATTATGGTGTTTAATTTTAGCTCTGCCATTCTTTGTGATGTGTGTATAGCTCCCCCCAGTGTGATTGCAGGGTTATTTACAAGGATTTTTTCACATACTCAACAAATCCCAGAAAGCTTCAGCTTTCTGTATGTGTACAGTTGCATGTTCTTGTTAATCTCCTGTGTTTCTCTATCTGACAGCTGCCTTGCCTTTGCCCTTCACGCTTGTTCTGTCTTGTTTTGTGGCTGGGACTTCCTCAGTGTCGGGGCTGTGTCATCAGTCGTGTCCTCTGCTTGTTGGGAGAGACTCATAACCCTCCCTTACGCCTCCGCTGCCTAACAAGAGTTACGTGTGTTCTTTAAACAGATGATTAATGATCCTCCCCCCACCTCTTCCATTTTCCACAATCGTAGCAGCAAATCCAGCAAAAATTGGATGGCAAAGCAGGCCAGCAGCAACTTGTGTGATGGTAAAGGCTGAGGCTGCCTGCAGCTTGTGTGAATGCCAGTAAAGAGATGCACGGAGGGGTGAGGGTGGGAGTGGTGCAGGTGCTCTGGTGCAGGTAGAGCTAGCTCTGCAGGTCAGTGGCAGTTGTGGAGGCCCTGCCAGGCAAATCTTGAACACCTACAGGGTTTTGGTACAGGCAGTGCTGAGGTTTGGTCACCTTTGTTAAAGCTGGGGTTTTTTTTCAATTTATCCAATGGGAAGTTTCTTTGCAGCAGCCTTTTCCTCTTGTCTGTGATCGTTCTGGCCTACATCTCCATCTCTGCGTTTGAACTTGGCCATTACATTCCCCTCAGCCTATTAAAACCCTTTTCCTCCATGCGCACATACATCTGAGAGCCAAATGACAATTAAACAAATTTTCCATTTGTGCACAATTGTCATTACTCACAAATGGAGGTATCCGCCAGCCTCTGGTTTCATCTTCCGTTGTGTTTGTGTGGGCAAACTCATTTGTGTCATGTTCATTAATGCTGTGGTTCTCCACATGGTCTAAGCCAGACAGCTGTGGTCTTTCCCTACTTGAAATTTAAAACAACTCTCCGAAGAATGTGGTAAATGAGCCAAAAATAGAGTAACAAAGGCATGCTTCGGCACTGTGAGACTGGTAAACACAAATCCCTTTGAAACAGTGGTCTGCATTTGCATGTGTAACATAATTAATGTTTTCTTTTAATGTTTGTCACATTATTACTGTCTTTCTCCTGCCAGATTAAACAAGTAATTTGCATTTTTGACAGTAGGCTTTTTTGAAAAGATGCAAGGTTTGCTGAGTCACTTCAGTTTCTAGTCCTAAAACCCTTGCAAATTAACAGCCCTTTCCCAATTGCCTGCTATAACCAAGTCTTATTTGCCCTTCCTGAAGTCTCTCTAGTGTGCCACTGCTCTTAAAAATCCTCTGGGACTCGGTTCAGCTTTCAGTTCTGTGTGTATATCCTTTGTCTATAATGATCCCTCTATGCTGTGCCTGTCTGAGAAAGCCATGAGCTCACTGTGGCAGAGGAAGGAATGTGGAATTTCTTGTTCTGTGGGCAAAGCCTGCGGTTACATGGAGAGTTTAGAGGACCAGGGTGTAGGGCCAGCACCCTGTGAATTATACAGGGTTGGAGGAAACAAGGKGCTGCAAGTGTACTGTGAACCAGAGAACTAGTGAAAAAACATTATTTTTTATTTCCAGACTGTTTTTCAGTCAGGATCTCAGGTGGGAGCAGGCTGTTGAAGGGGAAGTGGAACATCCTTTTCCTCCCTAGGAATTCAGTGCTCACAATCAGTTGATGCCATTGACTTTAGTCTGTGCTGCTCACTGTTGACACTGTGTAAGGGATGGCTGAACAATCCTCTGAATGAATGGTCTCACGCTAAAAATATTGCTTTGATTTGCCTGTTTTTTTGTTTTCTTTTTCAATTATATTTGAACTTTGTAATTGCTGAAAGTATATCTAAATAGATGAATCTGTGTGTGAGCAGGTGTTTATAATCACGAGTTTTATTGTGGCCTCAGCTTGCATTTGTGTGTAAATCTTGAATCAAACCCTTGCCCATATAGATCCATTTATTCTTCAGCATTGTCAAACATGAGTCTGTGGTATGGGCAATCGTGCACTTTTGAAAGTTGCAAAAGAATAGTGAACAATGTATACCTTACACAGAAAAATGTATTAGATATATAGTAAAATAATATTTACATTACAGAATAGGAAACTTGTAGTTGGTAACTGGTTTGGCAGGTTGAGAATTTGTGTCGAATGTTCTGTGCAGGTGGCGTTGGGTGTGGGCAGAAGTGCAAGTACATGTATTTTGTTGTCCTGCAAAAATAAGGTGTGCTTAGTCTTCTTCTGAAAAGCAGAGAAGAAAAACCTGAATTTGTGCTGTGTACTTAGCAGGGAACTTAGAATCCTCACTGTCAGTAGTTTCAGAGCAAGAAAAGTCAAACTCTCTGTTTTTGAACTTCATCCTTTTGAACAAATCTGTTACATTTTTTGCACTTTGCTGCTGAAGAACATCTCATATCTGACTGACTGTTTGCTATAGATGTTACAGAAACACATCCAACCTTATCTTAAAATCTGAGAAAATTCAGGATTATACTTGCATTACAGGATTATCTAGTGTACCGGTACAAATATGGATGTGTGTGTCTTTGAGTTAACCCCATGAGAGTCACGTAATAAGGATGTACAGGTGGGAGCACATAAAGCAAAGCATGACTGAACCTGAGAGGTGTTGTGCTTTAATCAGGCTTTAGGCACCAAGACAAAATTCAGAGCAGGGAATTTGGGGACGAGGTGGGAATCTTCAGAGCTTGAGTGATGATTTTGATTTTTTAAATTTTTTTCCTTAACATCTTTTTCTCACTTTGAGGATTTTTGGTTCTCCCTCTCCAGCAGTATTTTCCCACTGGTTTGTGGATATGTGTTCTTTACCTTGGTCCATAGCTTCGAGACCTTTGCCAAGATTATGCCCAGGCATCTGCATTTAATATATGCTCAGGATTTCCCAGCCAAGTGTCAGCAGTTCAGTGTGAGGGTGTGAATACTTGCGTAATAAACGGTAAACAAACTTACCAAATTTCTCTGTGTGGTCAGCCAGAAAACGGAAGCTGAATGCTTACAAATGGTAGTGAATGTTTGGCAGATGAAAGGCTCTTTCTGTGTTGCTCATAGCACAGCTGAGGTACCAAGAGCAAGGGAAAAAAAGGAAGAAAAACATGGTGAAGAGGCTGGGATTTTTATGTTTCTGTTTCCTTATGAGATAAAACTTTAATTCCAGATATAATAATTATCATACTTCATACTCTTTAATTTTTCTGTTTTAGTTCTTACATGTTTCTCCTAGTAGTAATTTATTACTTACTGTACATTGACTTGGGGTGAATCACAGGAACTGATTTTGTGGCATGGCTGTAGAAGGGTTTCAGGCGTAAATCCTGGAAGTCATGTTACTACACTAGCCAGATTGTTCARTTCTGTTGTAAAATAAGAGCATTGAGAGGTTACAGGGGAGTGGAAATATATGAAATTTCTGCTTTGGGTGTGATATAAAGGTAGTAACTGAACATACCCCATCCCATGTACGTCCTACTGAATCTAAGGGATTGTCTTTTCCATCAGGGCTAYGTTTATTTTTATCATTATTTATTTTAGATATTTTGTATTGATAAATTGGTGGAAAATAATTGATTAAATAATACTTGAGGGTATTTCTGAAACAGATAGTGGCAATTTGGGTTTGTTATCAAGGTGGCCGCTATATTCAACATCTTCTTTCCCCCTCAATCSCCTGTGTGAGGAGTGAGTGTGTCTGTGTGTGCATGTTTGCACACTTTCATGTACTCTTAAATGACTGGCAGGCTGAGTTAGGATGTTGTAAACTGCAGAATCTGTGTGTGAGTGCTGACAAGTGTGAACCTGTCTGATATTCTGCCTTACATAATCTGATCTTCTGCAAAGAGCCACACACATTGACATCTGTCTGAATAATTGTTTATATTTCAGTCTACACCAACAACCAAAGCAGGATCTGAAAAAAACAGCCAGTCAAACAAGGTAAATACTTAATCTTTCACCTCAAMAGAGTTGGTGCACTTTGGTCTTTTGCTAACTTTGAAAAAAGAGGCTGAACTCTTGGCTGTTTCTCTGTGTGTGATCGTGAAGCTGGTGTGTGGTCAATGACATAGCTGTGCACAAATTTCAGGACAGCCCAAGAAGCATCCTGTTAGCCATCCTAGATCTGCCTTGTGCTTATTTAGACTTGGCATGCATCTTGTTCTGTAGCATTGAAGAGCGGAAAGGGTAAATTATCTCAATTTTTTGTTTCATGACAGCYGACAGACTCTGAAAATGAACAACTGTCGGAAGAGAAGAAAAAGGAACCCAGTGATGTAAGTTTTATAATTTCACTCTCAATCTCATTCACTGAATTTTTTAATGAGGGGTTCTTCTGCTGTTTTTCTTCTGCCTTTCTCTTAAAAAATAGTTCTAAAAGAATATAAAAGCCAGCCTTTCATATCTAGTGATAATAGTTTATCTCTACACAGGGAAAAAACCAAACCCCTTCTACCGAGACAACAGCTTCTAAACCAAATAACACGGGMAAAGTAACTACAGTTCAGGCTGACCAGCCTCCACCAGCAACCTCCACAGAGACAGCGAAGGTATCATGGAAGCAGCAACCAATTTTTATTATTTGAGCCAGTTTATTTTATTGAGGGAATGTTAGGAGTCCACATCAAGATGGATATTGTCAAGTGAGACTGGGCCCCCAGAATTCAGTGTAGATATTCTGTTGGCTGACAAACGGMATTAAGAACATTGCAGTTTTAGGTCTGTTCCTGTGTGTTTGGGGCTTTTCTGGTTCTTTTTTTCTGGTTTTTGGTAAGTTCCTTGTAAGCTACATACTTGTCATTGATAGTCTGTCGGGCTCTTCCCTTGCTCTCTCACTGCAGTGCTGGCTCCAAGTGCAATGGGTCAGCCCTGAACACAAGGCTGTGGAAAAAACTGAAGTGAGAAAGGTTGGGGGAAAAGTTGGGGAGGGCTTATTTCCACAGGGCAAAAGGAGAAAAAATGTGAAGAAAAAGCATGTCATGGCATCAGGATGTAGATGTTTTGGTCTCTTGGTCTGCCTGCATGTGTGGTGWCAAGGCTGGGTGATATGAAGGGCTGCTGCTGATCTAGTACAATGCACTTATCTTTGACAGTAAATGAGAAGTGCCTGTAATACAAAATCCTGCATTTTATGTGGTGTTGTTCCTCCACCTGCCCACCTGCCACAGTTTTCACCCCACCCTGAGCACCTTTTGCAGCTGGAGTTTAATGGTGCATTGCCAGGAGKCAATGACAGCTTTCAAAAGAGACTTGGAAGGGGCCTCAAAGTCTCTCTTGCCCTGCAGATTTCTGTCACTGGGAGGGTAAAAAGAAGGTTAAAATAGAAGCAGAATCACATGGAATCAGAGCTTTTGGTGGTAGCTGATTCTGCCAAAGCATCTGGGTGCTGTACAGATGCACCAGCCAGCTGAGTCCCAAAAACTGTGCTCAGCCTCAGCGTTGAATGTTTTACTTTGATTTGTCTCTTTTTTAACATTGCAATAAATAATCTCTTMATTTTTCTGGGTTTTTTGTGTCTGKTTTTTTTYCCTCCAGSAAAAGTCCAAGGAGATATCCACAGTGGCTGGTGCAGCTGCTGGAACAGGCACAGCTGGTGCCAGCGTGGTTGCTGCTGCTGATAAATCGAGTACTGAGGTTGGTAAACATAGCCCCAGACAGAGGCTTTCCTTGTAATAATGTCTCAGAGGCTGCTTCTCTCTCTGAAACACTTCAGTTTCAGGACACAAAAAAAAAAAAAAGGGTAACTGCTGAAGTATTGATAAAGTCTTATTACGCATGATGGTGAAGGGCCATGTGAAGGAATAGGTAAAACCCAGTAACGTGTCATCTGTGTTTTGTCAAATAGGAATTCTTTAGAAGCTAGGTTAAAATTACATGAGTTTCAAATTAGTTACTTTCTATCTCTGGTTATGTTTGAATATGTATGTGCATCAGCTGGTACATAAATACAAAGTACCCTTTTAATGATGCTGGGGAATTGAGTTTAGAAAAGTTCTTACTGAGAAATTTGGCAAATGCATGTGCTGCTGAAAAAAAGCTTTTAGGCTGGTTTCTTGGAGTCTTTTACAGATTCACCAGATGCTTCAGTTTTTGGGGTTTTTTTTTTTCCCCCTGTGTACACCTTGGTAACCTCTATAATGATTTGCTTATTTTTCAGCCTGGTATGGATGAATCAGCACTTGATAGCCTAATAGATACCCTCGGTGGACCTGAGGAAGATGTGCCCACTACTCCTGTTTACACTGGCCCGGAAATTACGGTATTTTACACTTCTCATTCTTATTTCKTAGAAGATTTATCCCTGAACTGCATCTGTAGCTGTACATTGATCCTGTATGTTGATCCAGGACTTGTCACTGTGACCTGCCAAAGTTAAAACAGAGTTTGCCCAGTCAGATTTTAATGTTGGTTTTATTAATACAGAAATTACTCAGTTTTAGGTCTATTGCAGTAGAAAACACTGAAGTGTCAACAAAGTAAGTTTGTTGCCTTTTTGAGTTGATTTTCAAGCAAGTTCCAGAGTGGTTTTACAAAAGACTGATGGAGGGAAGTACAAGAGAGTGTAAACAACCTAGAAGATTTCATTTCTGCTTGAGCAAAACTGGGCAATTGTTAAAGGATGCATAACTTTCTGAGTCTGAATGGGAGAGCCTTGTAAGAAGGATTAAAATTACAAGTTCAGTGGCTCAGTAAAACATGATAAAAAATTSGGAATTTATAAATATTTGAAAAGCAATCTAGATTCAGCAATACATCCTATGATCTGAGACACTGAAATGGCTTAAATTAATAATCTGGGTGCAGATTTGTAGGGTTCTGCTGGATAATGTGCACTGCTGAAGCTGGTCAAGATGTGTGTGTATGATAATAGGTACTGAAAGACTCTATGCAGTGTCTTAGCCAACCTTTGCATTTTCTTTTTGGAAGTATTGCTGTAGGTAGCTTTATTGGAAATTCATTTCGGTAAAGAACAGTTTACAAACGTTAATGTGTGCATTCTTTTCACAGGAAGATATATATTCAAGATATTTGGAAGAACTGGGCAAACGGGAAGGTAGTCTCCCTCCAGAGTATGTTAAGTTGTTGAAGGTTAGTGAGTTAAAAAAAMCACAATCTTTTATGCATATTTTCTTTCATATTGCATATTTCTGCTCCCCATTTACTGCAAAATTAATTCTCATTTTAGAGCAAGGGGTATGGCAAAGATGTTGTCCCACCGAAAGCAAATGAGCAAGATGAAGTAAGACTTTTTTATTTTTTAACATAGATAGATAGATAGATAGATATAGATATAGATATAGATATATATATATATATAGATATATATATAGAGTAAGGTGAAAGTAGCCCAGGTGAAAAGAATCTAGTTATTGCTGGATTTCTAGGAAAATATAAATTTTGCCTGTTCTCTGAAAATCCCAGGCAGTAGCAGGGGGATGTGGGGTATCCTGGTAACCTGGCTACTGATAAAACTAAAYGGAACTTGGCACAGATGTTTTTAATAAAGGTTTAAGAGTTTTCAGGACGTTAAAGCTGAAATGTGTCAATTAAATGCTTATAGAGATATTGGGCATATGTGTGACAAAGGGAAGAAATTTTGTGCAAGCAGGGATGTAATGCCTTCAGCAGGGGCTTCTTGTATTTCTACACTTGGCAAGAGATTTCTGTCATCCAGCTTAATTTTGCTCATTAGGAAGTTCGACATGCTGTAAATAAAAGCTTATCTGAAACATGAATCAACCAGAGGGGGCAAGCACCACCTTTATTTTTTGTTATGTCAGGAATTTGTGCCAACAAGGTCACTGTGTGAATAATAGTAGGACACAGTCAGTCTGTRAACTGGGCTTGACCCGTGTTGATATTTGATCTTTCTCATGGTCATGACTTGGTTTGCAATTCCTTGCTCAGAAGCCAATGACGGATGATGAACTTGCAGAGGCACTCTCATCTGACTTCACCTGCAGTACTGCTTCTGCTCATGAGAATAAGACAGGTCTGACAGAGGTATTGACGCTTTCCTTGCCATTGCATGCATTTATTGTGATGAAAAATTGACAATTGTAATCACAATAATTCATGTTAAACTGATAAAATTTCCTGCTTCTTTTCTGGTTTTTTGACTTTGCCTGTAATTTCATCTCACTCTTAGAAACCAAATAAAGAAGGAGAAATTGTGCAAGCACAAGCCACAAGTTCAGTCAACACTTCAGTTCCTCCTAAGGAGAAGAAAACAAAATCAAAAGAGGTATAAATAACTRTTCTTCCATTAGTTAAAATTAAAAGTTACAGGCCATTGCCAGTATGTGCTCCTGGTCTCATGAAGATGCTCATAATTCCCATTTTCAGTTGAAATCCTCTTTATTGTGGAAAGAATGGAATATCAAGAACTGCCGTTGCTCAGACTCCATTGTGTATTGAAGATCTGATTTTAGTGAATCAGATGATTTTCCTTCTGGATCTTCTGCATAATAACTGTGGTTTTTCTGACTAGAGGCAGTAGAGTAGATACATTAGCAGGAAAATGTCATTACTTATATTTAAAACTTGGATGTGATGTCATTTTCTCATATTTTAGGAACCTTCTTTTTTTTCCCCTGTAAATAGACTGAGTGTGACCTTACTGTTTTTTGGTTTGCCATGTCAAAGCATATGAGGATTGTGTTACATGACATTGTGACACTGTGGGTTTTGGGGGGATTTTTTTGCTTCCTTTTTTTTTCTTTCTTCTCTCCTTAAGCCATATCTTGACTGAAACTGTGCTAATTCTATCACATAATTTGGTGTTAAGGAAATTGGGTAAAGCCAAAGCAAAATGACCAATCTGGTGCTGGCTTCACATAAGCATAAAAATATGTGAGGTAAAACCCGTGTCAATTTAAAGAAATAATGAAACATTTTGTGCATTTTCTTAAATACAGGAAATTAAAGATGATGCACTGGATGCTCTTCTTGACACTCTTGGAGGACCTGAACCTGAACCTGAAGAAGATCCTACTCCTGTTGTAGAGGTGTCAGAGGTAACATCTTACTCCTCTTTACCCTGGCTTCCCTGACAGTGTAATCCTGAGTTCTCTTTGTTAGACACTGGACAAATATGTAAAATAACAGGAAAGTGACTTTCGTATCCAAGACCTACAGAATGTGTAGTCTTCCGTGGTTAAGAAAATTAAAAAATTAAGAGTCTCAGGTGGATAGAGGTAGAGTAGAACGTAGTAAGATGGTCTGTAAAATGATAATCATATAATTTGTTTGCTTATGCAAGCAAACATATATACACACATATGTGCATGCACTGGTAGATACAGTTCTGTTTGGGTTTTTTCCCCTGCACTGTGTACTATTTATAGCAAGCTTTCATTTTGGATATATTTGCTGTTTGATTTTTAATGTGTGTGTGCTCCTTTATTTACCAAACTCCATTATATTTCTAATTTGAGTCTTGGCCTTTCACTATCTTCTGAAAGTTTTGTTTTTCCTCAACAGACAGAATTTAAACAGTAACCCTGTGTTTGCATGCTAACTTTTATTTTTTAGTTTAGTTTTGCAAACTTGCCTACAACCATAATTACAGCTCAGAGCAAACAAATGRCAGGGAAATAGTGAAAAACCTCCTGTTGATGAGCTCAATTTTGACAAAAAAAGAGCTTTTTGTATAGCAGATCTAGTGAGTCTGCACTTTCAGATAACTTAGTGGATGCATTTCATCGTGAAGGAAGCCCAGAAAATCAAAAGTTTTGTTTTCGTGCAAGTGATGGAAAAWGGTGCAGAATTGTGGCTTGTGTAATTCAGAGTGCTGAAATGGAAAAAAACCTGAGAAATTTGTACACACAAAAAWTCTGTAGGTGCCTGTCACACAGATAGAGCTCCAAATACTGTCTTAAGTTTTTTAGGATTTAAAATAATTTAGCTGTATTCACCACAGACATCTGACAGGGATAAACTGAGGGATTTTAGTATCTTGTTACATGGAATAATTTTATGCCATGCCAGTTCTTCTACACACAGTAAGCTGGAGAATCATGATAGTGAAGTTGTGTGTTTTGAGTTTCTATTTTAATTCCTTTAAGTGTTTTTTTCCCCCTATTCTTTCTTTTTAAGGCAAAAGCCAAAGAGAAAAAGGAACAAAAGGTTGGAGAGCGTGATGATACAATACCTCCAGAGTACAGGTTAACTCCAGAGTTGGTAAGCTTTTCGTATCTCAATTGCTTTGTAGGTAGGGCATTGTATCTGACACTTTATTTCATCACAGAGAGGGAAAGAACTTGTATTTAATCAACAGCTTTTTCCTTGGTGACTTCTGTACCTCTGATTTCCTCCTCATCCTTTGTGGCACTACTGCTTTTTCCAGGCATTCTGGGCAAAGATCTGTTCTTACCAAGTCACCCATTCGTTCTTGAAGAGTGGCATTTCTTTTTTCTGATATTAAATCTCATAATTGTAAAATCTGTCCCTTTGCAGAAGTGCTCTTTGGTATCACTTTGTAATGTAATCTTGAAACACTATAGTAAAATGATGGGAAAATTGCAGCTTTTTTTTTTTTTTTTTTTTTGGCTTGCCACTCAAAGTGGTGGAGATTAGCCAAAACAACCTCAGAGTACTTTTTGGTCTTTTGTATTGTGCTGACATCATATTTGCTTTTTTGATCTACTTACCTGGCCATGTAAAAATTGCCCATTTAGGGGAATTCCTGTCAGTGATTTAATCTGGTATATGTAATTTACTTCACATTATTTTGCTGGTGACTACTGAGTATGGCACTTCCTGTAACAAYAGTAAAATGTCAATAATACTTATTTTACTTCTAGGATAAAGATGGAAAACCAATATTGCCAAAGCCTGAAGAAAAACCAAAGGTTAGAAAACTGACAATATTATAGGAGTGTGGCTAGATAACCTGTTTTSTCCCTCTCTGTCATCACTTCTCTCTGTGCCACGATGTAAGTCTCTAGGTCTGCTTGTGTGTTTTAACTTCCTTGCACAAAACCTGCTGGTCAGAAGCATCAAATGGAAGTTGGTTTTATGGAAATTCACTTACCTGTGAATGAAGAGCTCATATAAAGAAAATGTTTAGAGAGTACCAAGATCGCAGAGAGTTAAAAAAATCAGTGCTGACTCAAAGGAAAACTGTGGGGGAAGTTAGTGTAAAGTATTCTGTAAAGAATTAAAGTATATCTGTTGGAGTTCTTAAGGACAGAGAGAGATGAAACAGGAAAATCTTTTGTTTTCTTGACAGTTTCCTCTTGTTAGTGATCAAATATAAAGGAATGTCACTGGAAAGAAGAAAAAAAWGCTGCTGTGGACATTTTTCTGATCACAAAAGCAACTTGGACTTTGCAAAGAGTATCCATCTTGGCCTAGAAAGTGCAAGAGAGCGTTAAAATATTGAGAGTTGCAAAGATCAGTTTTAAAGGCACAGGAAGAAAGCAAAGGAGCTGTGCACTGGAGAAACTGAGGGCACCACTTTGGAAATACTGTGAGTTGAGGAGTGCTGCCAAAAATTGGAAAAGCACAGGAAATCTTCGCTCTCCTGAAGCGAGTGTGAAAGYCAGGACCAGTTTAAGTGAGAATGACTCTGCTGTGCCTTCCGAGCAGAAATGTGAAGTCATTCCTATTATTCAGGGTTGAAGTGTSGGGAGGGGAGGAATGAGAAGGCAGTGATGGAAAAAAAGACTTTTGGTCTCTAAAAATGTTTATGTCAGGTCTCAAGACATTGGAGTGTGTTTGAGTGGTGGATGTGTGAGAGCTGCACAGAAGGGAATTCCTGCCAAGCATGTCATGAGGAGAAAAAGAGAGCAGGTCTGCTCTGGGGGAAGAAGGCTTTACTGCCAGGAGATAAGCCTCAGGAGATAAGCCTTCATGTTCCACACAGAGCTCAAAGAGATAGCACACATGAAAAGCTCCAAAAGAGAACATAAGCTAAAGGGGGTTTGTTTACAGCTGGGCTAAAGTCCTGTAGAAAACCAGGGCAGAACATAAACTCAGAATTATGCCAGAAGGTTGTTAAGTGGTTACTAGAAAAATAGGTATTCCCATGCTCTTCCACCTCTCTAGGTGGGAGGCACAAAAATGATTGAATCCTTGTTCTGTAGTTGAATCATGGGAATATCAGGCATAATTTCTGATATCATTTCTCAGCACCTCTTTATTATAAGCACCACCTTTAAAGGAGGTGGTTTTGAGCAAGGTGTGTTCACCAGTACTCCTGCGGAACCACCACTGATATTTAGATCAGTGAAACCAAAATCAGCAAAATGAAAAAGGCARTGTAAATAGCTGGAAACCATCAGTCACTTGCAGTTCTTTTGTGATTTCTGGTGAAGGATTTCAGCTAGGGTTTGTCTTGCTTTGGGCCTCCACTCTGCAAAGTTTAAGTACATTCAGTGGCATTACTTTTGTGAAGAAAGGTTATTACCTAAGTGCCTTTTTTTAGGGTCTGAAGGAGGATTCCAGGCATTTTGAAGAGTGGTGYTCCACGTGTTGAGACACTTTATAAACAATTTGGGGAAGGGAATGAGAGAGGGATTTCTCCTTCAGAAATGTCATTTTAGCACTATGAGTCTGCACCGAAGCTGTTAAGTTTAATGCAGCAGGTGAATGGCCATCACTCCTAGCAAAGATTTAAACATTTAGCTGTGAAGAGTAGTTGGTGGAATTGTAGGATCATCAGGTGTAGAGATGTATGGATTTCAGAGGCCTAGTTCACATAGTGTCAGGGGATTGTAATAGGTCACTCACAGCAGGAAACTAAAACTGTATTTTTTTTCACTAAAACATGCAGTGAAAACCACTGAGCCTCAACAGTCAGTGGACAAGCTAAGGGAACTCTCAGGGAGCTGTACTTCTGCTAGTGGATACTAGCATTTTCTTCCTAATTAAGAGGTTGTATTTTCCTTTTCAGCAGCCCTGTAAACAGTCTTGAACATGATATACCTGGTTCTCTGTATTGTGTTTTGTATTATGTGTACAGTTTACTACATTATATTGACTTTCAAACATAACAAAGTAACTGATTTATTTCAAATTGTGTTTTTCTTGATTTTATGCGCTCCAAAATTAATGCTGTTTTGCTGCACATAATTGTGAAAGGTTGTTTCAGTGTAGGCTGCAGATGTTTCCCTGCTTTCTGAGCAGCTAAAGTACAGCTCTTGAAAAACTAAATTAAAAAARCAGTGAGTCACCTTTGCTACATATGTCTTTTTCTTTCTTTTTTTTTTGCAGCCTTTGAGCGAATCTGATCTTGTTGATGAATTCTCAAAGGACTTTGCCTCCCCTGCACAGCCTACAGTACAACCCAAAGCACCAAAACCCTGCAGCATATCCAAAGTATGTCTTTCTGGGTCCCTGGAGAAGCTGACTCTGATAGTTTTGCTAAGACTGGGTTGTGCTACTCTTCTTTCAAGAAAAAACATTTTCTTCTCTTCTTGTTTTACCCTCCCTGTTGCCTTTAGTGGAACGTGTGCTATTGGCATTCAGCTCTTCACTAAGCATCTTCTGCCTTTAAATTTAGACTTCTCTTTCTCGTTTAGTACTATATTTAGAAAGAAAGAAAGAAAAAAAACATTTAACTGGCACATTTTGTGTTTCTAAGCATRTTCAGTAAAACAGTGTAAATTCTTCTGTTTCAGAAGCCATCGGGCTCTGTGTCTGTGGCAAAAGCCACTGAGGATAAAGTGGTCCCTCGTGCCACAGCTTGCACTGTGCAGTCTGCAGCTCCCAAGTCTTCAGTAAGTAACAGAGCCACTTCAGCTGGAGTTAAAGCAAAACTCAGTGTTTCATCTATGGAATGGCAGGGGATGTTGTCAGGATGCTAATTTCAAAATTGCAAGTTCTTCCTGCACAGTSGTAACCCACAAAGGCTGAGTGCTTCACAAAAAAAACCAAACAAAACAACAAAAAAAAAAGAAGCCAAGTCAAGCACAAACAGAATGGTCAGTGACCTTTCCCATGGAGGAAGGAAAACTGATGGTTCTTGTGGTCTCCTCTAGCTCTTCCTGCCCTAAAGGGATGATGTTTGTGAACCTAAGAGGGAAAAAAAAMCAGGTTTCTTCATCTCCAAACTGAGAATTATTCTTTGCCCTGTACAGGTTGGTCCTGTAGCAGATGAAGCACTGGAAGCCTTGTCCAGTAGCCTAGGAAAGATGGAGCCTGATCCAGATGAGAAAAAGCCTGTTGTGGACAAAGTTAAGGTATAGAAAAAAAATCAGACCTCAAAAAATAGACTGTTGATATAATTATGTTCAATGTTACCCGATTTCCTCAGGTTACAAACAATGTAGACACAGTATTTTTACTTTCTTTCAAAAAACAAAATGTATTGTTGAAACCAGTTCTGTTGTGCTTAGGAAGTACGAGCARGATTTCAGCACAGTGAATACACTTTATAATTCTGACTGTTTCAGTGTAGCAGTTCCCTCAGTTTCTGTGGGAAAACATAGTTTCCATGGGAAACTGTGCTTTTGTTGTATCTTTCTGCTGAACTGAAGCAGAATTAAGATCCACATCAGGGGKAGCAGAGTGTGGTCCTTTTTCTGAAGGAAACAAATTTATGATGAGGGGTTTCAATTAATAATTAYGCACGAAACTTAAAGGTTTATATATTTAAATAGGGAGCCATARATAAGTCACTGAAATCCTGTGTAAGGGAATGTTGTTCACAGGCACAGTCTGAATGTCACTATATCCCACCTTGATCCAGATGGATTTGGCTGGAGTCAGAAACCAGAAACTGGAGTCAGAAACCAGCCCTTCTGGTGGCTGGAATTGTGTCAGGCAGAAGTTCCTGAAGTTGTCTTCAGTYTCTTTTCTTAGCTGGCATTTTTCCAACGTAATTTGTGTGGGGATAATAATTTTTGAAGTGGACTACAGATTTCACTGTTCAGCCTTCCTTTTCATGCAGCCCAGACAGATGTTGAGTAGATCTCAAAAAAAAAAAATCAAGAATTAAGACTCAGAGGTGTTGTTTTTGTTGTTGGTCCASTCATGTCTATTTACCTACCTCTGCTAGCTTCATTGAATTAGGTTGAGCCTGATAGACAGAGGAAGAAATAGGCAGAGGAGTKGATGTTTTCTCAAGAAAAAATGCTTTCTTTTAATTTTATTTTTTATCTGGTGGTTGGATTGAAAGAGAAAGACCAATTTGAATCAGAAGATTGAAGTCTGAGTGCTTGCTCATGTGCATTTCTGCTGGGCTGTAGTCAGTTGTTTTYCTTACTGTGATTTCTGTTTTGCCTTCACAGGAGAAAACCAAAAAGGAGCAACACAAAAAACTGGGTGAAGAAGAAGAAACGATTCCTCCAGAGTACAGATTAGCAGAAGCCAAAGTAATTTATTTACCATGCTGTCTTAGTCTTGCTTCCTTTTCATTCCTCAGAACAAGTGGATAAAAACTGAGGCTCCCGTTTCATTTTGAAACACTGATGTCTTAGTTCAGCCATTTCTATAGTATGTAAAAATTCCACTTTTAGTTCCCAAATATCTGACATCTATCACTGGATGTCTGCATGGGCATGGAAGTGATTTTGTTGCAAATACCTACAGATTAATAATTCTGTCTGAGATCATTGTGCTAGAGTGTTTCAGCAGCCTCTGGTCTTTCAGAACTAAATAAATTGTGATGGGTTCAAGCTGTTACAAAAGCCCAGGGACCTGAATGTTTTAAGAAGCATCTTGAGTAGCAGCGGTAGATGCTTTAGAGGCTGCTGGTTGAATCCCTGCCCCGTGTAACATTTTCTGTTGCTCAGGGGATGTTCTCAGAATGCTTGTATTGTACTCTCATTTAAGGACTGATTGGTGTAATGCTAGGGATTTTTTATTTTGTAGGACAAAGATGGAAAATCACTCCTACCAAAACCAGAAGAAAAGTCACAGGTAAAAAAAGTGACCATTTCAAATAACTGTTTAATTTGTGACTTTCTTACCAAATCTCGAGCAGGGTTACGCAGTGTTCAGTTGGAAAATGGACTGTGTTACCTTTTCACTTTTTAAGAGATGAAGAGATTTACAATCTTCTTTTTTTTCTCTTCAACAGCAGCCTATGAGTGAAAATGATCTTTTAGAGGGTTTGACAGCAGGATTTTCCAGTTCTCCATCACCACCTGAACCATTACCTACATCAACTGTACCAAAGGTAAGTATATTAGATGTCTGAAAATTGGTTTTATTTTCAAGTTGTTTGACTAATTGGAACATTTTGTATGTTTTCCTTATGTGAAGTTCCTTAAATGAAATCCARTAACTAAAAATTTAAAATACTTCTTGCAGTTAGTTACTAGAAGAGCAAGACTTTTAAAAAACAAACAAAAAATCAGTTAAGTTGTGTGACTTGGTTTTGTTTTTTTTTTAATAGTTGGTTGCCTAGATAGTCCTTTGCAGCTGATGATTTTAGAAGTGTTTCTTGGGAATATTAGATGGGCTGGGTGAAGTCTTAGTTTTTGTGGAGTTGTTTTAACCTTTTAAAACTTCAGCTGTKGCGAGATTTAACCCAGTGGTTTAGAGGGAGGAACAAACTGAGATGAGGGACAGCTGCACAGTCTGGGGGGTGTTTTAATCTGAAATAAGCAAAGATCCTAAGGAAAATGAAATCCTTAATTGTGTGGGCGCTGTGTGGAGTCTGATRAGTGCTTTCCTTTCGTCCCCTGTGTGTCCTGTGCTTCCAGAAATCCAAGGAGGGTGCCAAGCCCGCGGGTTCCTCAGATGTGATCACTGCTGCTACGGTTTCCTCAGTGCACTCAGCAGCTCCTGCACCTTCTACCTCAGTAAGAAACCTCTCCTGTGCATCTTCACCCCAAAATGRGGGGCTGAGTAGTGAGGAGGGGTAGCAGCATGGTCAGAACAGTTTTRTCACTGTGGACTGTTGCAAAATTTAATCATTTATTGCTAAAAATGGCTATGGAAAGGAACAAAAATAGTGCCCTGGGGGAAAAAGAAAGAAAAAGGAAAAAGAATGAGTGAACATTCCATTCTCAGCAGATGTCCACAGGCAACACCATGACCTCCTTTGAATACCAGGCGAAGTTTCTTCCCTGGTATTTATTGCGGTGCTGCATACAAGTTTTGATCCATGCAGAGCAATCTTCCCCTGGTGTTCCCAGCCTGGTTTGGAAGGGGAATATAAAGCTCCCCCTGCCTGTGTTGGCCTTAAGGGCATTTTTTCTATCCAGGTTTTGGATAAAATTGCTAAACAAGTGGCAATTGCCAAACAATCATTGCCAAACAATTGCTAATAATTTTATAGATCTRTTCTCATTACAGCAGCTAGGCTTATTTATGACAAAAGAAAATCATTAGAATAAATTCCATAAGCCCTTCTTGAATTTATGTTTTCTGTGGGTCTGAATATTCTGTATTTTTTCCCCAGCTATTGCACTACACTTCAATTACAAATGGAGAGCTGTTTGTTCACTCAAATTGTACAGTTCACCAGCCAGTACTTATAATAGATTGATTAATTAGATAATTTTTGCAGTAGATCTGCTTTCACAAAGTATTTCCATTTTGTTAGGGWGGAAAAGAGATGGATGAAGCCTTGGATCTCCTGTCTGATTCCCTGGGAGAGAGGGAACCTGACCCTGATGAGAACAAGTCAGTTGTGGATAAAGTAAAGGTAACAAAAGTCATTCTGWAATTTGAGCAGTCTGGGGAGAGGGAGGATTGGGATGGAGTAAACCAAATCAACAAAAAAAAGCCCCACCAAACCTCTCAAAATCTGTAATAGTTCTCATATATTCACAGGAGTATATGGCATGGGGACTTTAGGTGTTGTAAGGATAAGRTTAAAGGAAAAAAAAATCCATGTTCTTACAAATAGGTATATCAATCACTCCTCAGTCATCTGGATTATTTGTGTGTTCTGTGAARAATGTTAATTTGGTTAATATACTTTGGCCATGTGGAGGCAAATTGAAATGTTACAGGAGATTTTAAATAATTTTAGTTGAATGCCTTTCATTGCCATTGTTCTCATCATTTTTTGGGTGTCTCCTCAGGCCTGAGTTTCTAAAATTGGTTTTCTGGCCCTCTTTTTGTCAAGCTTTGACTTCTATGACCACAGATATCAAGTCCATTTAATGAGTCACTGTTTAAACTTCCCTGGTTTTCCTGGTTTTGTTTCATTTASTCTTTAATAAAATCCTATGAAGACCCTTGTTCTAATAAGAAAATYAATATCTACATAATAGTAATAATAGTGGTAATAAATTGTAATCTGAATACCTAAGGTGAAGTACGTAAAAACAAAACCACCACATGCTGCCTATCAATAAGTTTAGACTGGAATATCGAAGGGAGTTTCTGTTTCCAGATCAGGTGGAAATTGTTGCTGCCTTAGGAATAGATTTATGCAGTTTGGGTAGCACATGAGTACCTGATGTGTGAGATCTCAGCAGCTCCTCTGCTTCAGTGGGGTTGTAGAAGCCCAGCTGTGTTCAGGTATTGTTTTTTACAAAGATATAGACAATGCTTAGATTTAAAGTTTACAAAAAAAAATTAAAAGGAAAAAAAGAAAATAGAGATCCTTAAAATGTCTGCATTAACACACACAAAAATGTTCCTCAGTAGTCAGCTTAAAAAACATCCTTGTGACGCTCTGTGTGGCATGTTTCTGGTATGCTGCCAAAACTCAGAGCAGCATAAGCTGAAAGACAAATGTAGTTTTAAAACTTTCAGGCATGCAACATGCTTCTTAGTGAAATGAATAAATGGGGATTTTTCCCAGTAGGTTTAAAACTTTAAAGTGAAAAAGCCCATCTGTCCTAAGTCTGATATGCCTTCTGACTTATTAATTGTTAATATTTCTAATATGGATATTAAAGTTATTAAAAACCTAAATGGTTTCAGGAAAAGGCTAAATCTGAACACAGAGACAAACTTGGAGAGAGAGATGAAACAATCCCTCCTGACTACCGAAAACTTCTGGAGTCAGGTGAGCAGGTAAGGAAAAGCCTCCCTGGTTTTTATTTGCAGCACTGGAAATTTGGGTATGTCTGAGCCAGTCTGTCCTCTTTGGAATTACAAGTTGAATAAGTGAGTGTCTGTACTCATGGGTTAAACATGGAAATATCCTACAATGAGAGTAGCTCCATCCTTGCATGCTTATAAGGCAAAAAACAAAAGGGGGGNATTGTGCAACTCAGCATCATGTAGTACAGAGTGAATTATCTTTAACAATCCAGAACAAAACACCATGATTGCTTAGAAAGACCAAAAAGCCTCCAAAAAACAAAAGGGGGGGAAAAAAGGAGTTTTGTTCTTGTTTTGGGTTTGTTTTTTTTTTTTTTGGGCAGTCTGAGCAAATAAATCTTTGAACTACTAAAGCTATCCTCTCAGAATGGTACAGCTTCCTTGGAAATGTGCCGTATGTAAATACTTGTGTTATGAAACTAATTTGGCCAATGCAAAATGAGAATGTGCTTTTTTCTTCCTAAGAGTAAACCAGCAAAGCCGACAGCAAAGGATGACGTGAAGCACAAAGAGCAGAAGGTAACATTTGTGATGGGGCTTATTGAGGATTTTTTTTATATACATGACATTTATTCAGTGCTTTTTCATGCTGTGGGCTCTGATTTTGTTTCAAAGTTGGGTCACTGTAGAATTAAGGGGTGATTCATTGCAAATAGTCATAGATGCAGGAAGTAACAGAAACAGTGTGGACAATAAAAYTTCATGAGGAGTTACTTCACAATAAATGCAGTTTTATGTACAAGTGCACTATGAATGTTCAGGAAATGAAGCCTTTTGACATCTCTGCCATATGTGTAGAGTTTGTTCAAGAAAGGGATAATTAAGCYGACATAAATTCCTGAACCAGTAATTTGACTGTGGTGAGTTGGGTTGTACATGCTGTGACTTCAAAATTAAAATTATTGCAGAAACCTACGGATGACAGTGCAGCTATTGATGCCTTATCAGGTGACTTTGATACTTGTGCAAAGCCTCCTGCTACACCCCAGCACTCAAAGGTAGGACATTTTCTGCTAATAGCTCACAACATAAACAGTTTTTCACGACTTACTTTTCTTTGCAGTCACTCAGTTTAGGTTTACAGGAAGGCTGTCAAGGTGCAGGGATTGTTTTACCACTGCAGTGGAAGTTGGATGCATTTTGCTATACGTTCTGTATTCTAAATATTTGGAAGAAGGAAGGTTTGTGGTAATTAGAGCCTTTTGAAGATGTAAGCTGAGCAGAGAAATATGGTAACAGTTTTTGTACAGATGAAAATGTCCAAAAACTGCAGAGAAGCAGAGAAACCTTTCTTCAATAAGAGGGACTGCACAGCAGTGGTTGTAGGCTGGAGCTGAGACAGAATTCAGGAGGGTTTTGTGGAGAGAAAAGTTCTGTGGGAGCAACAAAGACTTCTAGATATGTTAGGGAAAACACTAGAATTGACAAGAAAGACTCAGAAGGGATGGACTGGAAAGGCCTTGCAGTGAGAAAAGGAGTGGCAGCTTTGAAACAGGCGTTCAAATCAGCTGTGATTCCCAGGAGGAAAGAGCTGTGCTCCCAAACAGGTCTTCTGGACCCTGCAGTGCTTCCCCAAGTGCTTCCCTGGGCACAGAATCCTCAGGCAGCTGAAGGCAGGACCATGGGAGTTTCAAATGCTGCTTCCTSTGCTTATGAACTCCAGAGCTGAATTTGCTGCTGCTGCAGCAGCATTATTGCTCTGGAGTAAATACAAAATCTGCCCATCTGTACCAGGTTTTTCTGAGGGGCAGTCTCCAGCCAACACAGCCTGTGTTGCTGCCAGCCACATTCAAAAAAAAATGTTTTGGCAAATGCCAAAGTAGGAGCCACCAGTGCTGTATTCTCCTTGTAACTGTAATTATTCTTTTTTTCTTTGGAGTGTAGGACAAAAGTGGAAAGGAAGCTACGACCACGAAACCGAGCTCAAAGGACAAAGGAAAGCCCAGAGACCCTAAAAAGGTACAAACATGTATTTATAGCGTGGGGGTCAGCTGGATTTTGGATGCTTATTACAGGGTTCTTGTTTTGGGGAGAGTTTTGCATCAATAGATTGAACTTGATCCATATCTGTAAACATGCACATAGGAGAAAGGCTCCTGTCTATTTCAAGGGAAATTAGTGATAAGCAGAAGCAAAAAAAAAAAAAAGTATCTTCAAACAGAGTGTGGTCTTCTGAGGGGGACTCAGTGCCTGCTCCACAGCTTCTCCTTCCCAGATTTGTTGATTTAAGAGTCCCACTTTGCATGCCTATAGCTGCCTTGGGCAGAATCCCCACCACTTCTCTCATTTCTTGACAGTTTTGAGTAATAGCATCCTAAAAGTACTCCTACAACCACAGCCAGATTCCCCAATTATGATAATAACTTACTTTTCAAAATGAATGAAGACCTACRTATTTTCATAAATCAGTATGCAGAATTAATACGGTGGGGAAAGGCAGGCAGCTGTTCGTAATTTCAGAAGAAAGGGAAGCTGTGGCAGGGTGGGAAAAGATGAAAAGGRTTGCTTGGTCTTTGTTATCCAGAAGTACAGAAAATGGATTCAGGTTAGGGTGAAATTTGTTCCATCATGTTGTTCTCACACAGGACATGTGCAGGTGGATGCCTGAATTAGCTGATTGAATCTGCTCTGAAAATTTCAGGTGTCAGTGATGGGATTTCTTATTGTTATTATTAAATCACCACAGGTGCATTTTGTGTGACCACAGAATTGACTTGCAATTCTCARTGTAAAATTGGGGAGTGTCCTTATCTCCTCTTCAGGAGGATGTTCTGAGCTGTGACCTGATCACTAGTGTGGGTAAAAGGGTGTTGAGGAAGAGGGAATGATGAGGTCAGGCACAGGCCCTTCTTATCTGAAAGAAAGCAATTGATGGTGAAAAGGTGAAAATACTGTTGTACAACAGGAGTCACAAATATTCCTGCTAGGCTTTCTGTATTTCAGGTGCAGATTGTATTTATGTCTGAACTGTGACTCTGATAGAGTGTCTTGTCACTGCCTGATTTCARGTTTTGGCTTGGTTCAGTTTCTCATTGTCTTATCCTCTCGTTAGGCAAAGGGACAGTCCTCCAGCAGCAAATCTGAGAAGCAGAAAACAAGCTAAACATTAACCTCACCAGGTGAGATGTCTTCCTCCCTGTTCCCTGTGCTACCACAAACACAATTCACGCTTGTGGATTAAAGCTGAGTTTTGCTGGCAGTCCTGATCCAGACCAAGACATGGTTAAAGCTTCTGCTAAGACGCAGTGCTTGGGATGACTTTGYACTTCAGTGTCCCCCAGCAGGAAAGGCCTTTTTTCACATCCTTTGTCCATTCAGTTTGTACAGAACTGCTTCATGTAATTAAACTCCTTTAGGCTGGTGGAATTCCAGGCATCCCAAGGTGTGAAGTGCTGCTTCCCTTAGACATTTTCACAGAGTAATGAGAACTGAGCATATTTCAGCTGGGGGTTCTGATCTTTATGATACTGAGCTTGTATCCTTACCTCTGCTCTGGACCCATCTGGAGCAGGGCATCATTAGAGACTTAGTTTCCCAAAATTCTTCCCAGATTTATGTTGTGAATTTTATTTCCAGTTTATAGAAGATGAGCACTCTGACTTTGTTTTTTGTTTTGTTTTGTTTTCTTCGCCCCAGGATCCTGGTGCACTGTGTAAAATGTCTTCTTTCTGCGGGTGGATAATTATTCCTGAAGAACAACAGCTGATGCCGAAAGCACATAGTTATTCTGGGTGGTTTTTGTACAGTGATACTTGCTGGACTTTCTCTCAKTTTTTCTTTCTTTCCAGTAGTAGACTCAGGTGGTTTGTTTCTTTCCCCTGGMAGTTCAGTTTATTAAGACTCATATAGTCTGACTTTTTCTGTAATTTCCTAGAGCATTCAGGGGGAAAGAATGCTTTCTATTTGCAGGAAATATATTGCATCAAGGAAGAGCTATGCCAAAAAAGAAAAAAAGAAAAAAAAAATCTGCAGACTTTTGCACATAATCTCCACATAGTGCCTGTAAATTTCTGAAGAGTTCATATGCGCTAGCATTTTTTAACRTTGCAGTGAATGTATTAAGTATTCTGGAATATGGTGAGCTTTAGTGACCCTCAGCTGGGCTATGCAGCCTTTTGTTTAGGCCATTTCCTGGTGGGAGGCTGCAGGCTGGCTGTGGGGTGGCTAAAAAGTGAGAAACTGGGGATTAGCCGCTTCATCCAGCACGCCTGGACATAAAGCAGTTATTTGGGTTGCTGCCTTTAGATGTAGTTAAAACACACTAGAGCAGGACTACTTTTTTTTTTTTTTTTAATTATTACCATTATTTCCACTTGTATCTGTACTGTTAATCTCATAATTTCAGGAGTCTCCTGGACTGGACAAATAACAAATATAACAGCTTCCAACACACAGAGGGGGAAATACAGGAGGGCACAAGCCTCAGCAGCGATCAAAGTTCAGATCCACGGGCAGGCTCCTTTTTACCTTATTTTGCACTGTTTCTAGTCCTCCTGTTCCTGGCACTCCAGCAGGGAACGCAGGATGGGGCTGAAGGTGTTGCTGCAGGGAGCAAAGCCCCCTTCTCCTGCTCCCTGCGAGGACAGGCACGGCCAGGTGCCTCCCGCCGGTCGGCCACCACCGCCTCCGCGGGTTTCCCTCTGCCTCCCTGCCCCGCAGGACACCCTTCTGCACATCCTGACACTCAAACAGCTCTACCGTGCCTAGGGGTCTGCTGGCAGGGCTGGTGTGGGGGCTGAAGTTGGGGATATTTAGACTCGTGACTGTACTTGCAGTCTGCACCGTGCCACTCCAATAAAGTTTTTAAGGATGCGCTGTGCCGACCCTGGCTTTTTTTAAATGCTGCTGCTGCAGAAGAAAGCCTAGAAGTAATTTTTTAAAAAGCACGCAAACGCTGGCATATTGCATCTAATGTTTGGAAAGTCCCTGCAACATGCAGAATCACAGAATGATCTGGTTTGGGGAAGAACTTTGAGATCATCCAGTCCAACCTGTGASCCATCACCACCTTGTYGATCCCTGAGTGCCATGTCCAGTCTTTCCTTAAACACCTCCAGGGATGCTGACTCCACCACTGTCCTGCACAGCCCCATCCAATGCTCAATCCCTCTCCCTTTATATGTTGTGACACTCCATGAAAGCCCTCAGAAGTTCATCAAGATCCTGCTATGGTTTTTTTTGCCCCTTTTCCTTTGGATTTCAATGCTGSATTATGGTTAAACAAGACCAAATCTAACTTAGGATGGTCACTGTGCMGGGAGGCAGCTGAAAGACGTAAATCACTGAAACTTATTGTGTCCAGATAAAGGCACAATAAATTCACAGGTCCTGAAATACCTGTGTATGAAGTCACATCTCTTCTGTAGGAGGGCTGTATGTGGGAGAACAGGCACATCCTAAATTAAAGGGTGGGAAGAGAGCAATTAGGGGCCTGTGGGGTACCAGGAAGGCCACTTAATTTTCCCCAGAGCTGAGCAGTTAAAAGCAGAAAGCAGAAATGTCAATTACCGCTCATGAAAGAAATAATAACTGCACAAATGGCCACAAACAAAGGCCTGCATCTGAAATCACCTGCAATTTGAGTTTTTGTTGAATTCCCCTTTTGGCTCTTAAAATGTTTTTGAAGCAGCAGTCGTCAGTGCTTGAATAACATAAAATGTCACAGGCATGAGTGACGCACAGCTTTCTCAGAATTCCTGATTTAGATATAAATACATGTATATATAAAAAATGAYGGAAATTAGCCATAAGCACAAGGAAATGGTGCTTCCTGCAGGGTCGTGTCACAGCTGTTGGCCCTTTGCAAAGGAATGGGGTGCTTTTATGACAAATGGATTTGAAGTCCTTGGGCAGGTGTGATCTCCAGGTTGGAGAAAAGGATTAAGACTTTTTTTCCCCCACAGTCTGTAACTCTGTTAAAATTATGTCTGCTTARACACATTCATGAGGAAACTGAGGCAAGTTAGAAGCACAGAGGAAATAAACATCAGGGACTTGKGTCAAGAGCATCTTTGCAAGAGCAAAAAAGTGTCCTTAAGCATGAGTGGCAGTGAGCTGATTTTGATATTTTTTTTATTAAGTTTGGTACAGAAATAAAAGTTTTCGGCAGGTAAACGGTGCAGGCCGTTCACAACTGCCTTTAGGAAAAAGACACTCCACCAGTAAAAAGCCAACCTTCAAGATTTCAACGTTTCTTAAGACTGGATGAGTCACGCGGCGCCATGGCCTGGTTGACAAGGCGGTGTTAGGCCATTAGTTTGTTACCCTGCAGATGGGACACGAGGGCCATCAGTGGTGAGCGAGTGTCCCCTGCAGTGACAAGGTGCGGCCCCGCCACGCGTGGGGACACGGCTGGCCCCGCCCCTTCCAGCCATGGCCACGCCCCCTCCGTGTTTGGCCGCGCGCTAAAACCGCCCCCTCGGCTGCGGCTCCGCGCCCCAGCGCCGCCGCCATCTCTGATTGGCCGGCGGCATGCCCTTGCGGCCAGCGCGGCTTCTGATTGGCTAGGGGTGTCGCCTCGTGCCCGGCGCGGTCTCCCATTGGCTGCAGGTGCCGGTGTTGTTGTTATTCCTGTTACTGTAAACAGGAGCGGGCGGGTGTCACCTGTCACCTGTCGCCTCCTGTCACCTCTCTCACCTCTTGCCTCTTCGCCACTCCTTGCCACCTGTCCCCTGTCCCGTGTCGGCGGCCACTAGCCGGAGCTCGTTCCTCGCCCGCTCGGTCCTGCCCGGGCCATGTCCCTGCGCGGCGGCCGCGGGCTGCCCTGTCTGGCCGACATCTCCCCGCTGCCTTCCCCGGGCACGGCCCCGCTCACGCCGCTGGCGCTGGACTGGGGGGACTCGGCGGGCTCGGACAGGTGAGGCGGTGGCCGGAGGGCTGCTGGAGGCTGTGGCCACCCGCCCCACCGGGGCTCCCCCGACGTGACAGCGCTGCCCCGCGCTGGGGCCGTGCCAAAGCGGGCTTGGACRGGATCCCCTCCTGCATCTCCTGCTCCCGCCCCGCCGCGGGAGGAAGGGGCGAGGGGCACCCGGGGCACTGACACGTCCCCGTCCTGACCACCCGCAGGGACACCCCGAAAAGGGGGAAGCGGGGACTGCCCCTCCCGCGGCTGTGGCACACGCTGCCCCCTGAGCCGGTGGCCTCGGACTGTCCCCGGGACTCCATCTCCTCGCAGCCCACGGATGCAGGTGAGGGGTRGGGCTGCTCCGCCCCACAACCGCCCCCAACCGCCCCTCGGGCCTGGGGTCGTGCAGGGGGTGTCGGAGCGGGATCAGGGATGTGGCGGGGGGCTTGGCCGAGGGGCTGGAGAGGAGGACGAGGAGAGGAGAGCTTCTGGGGAGCTCAAAACTGCATTCCCTGAGGCTCAGCCAGGAGCCGGCCCGGCGGGGAACCTGCTGCGGRCGACGCGCGACATTCCATGGGGACCGGTGCTCCCAGGGGCAGTGCCACCCGCCTGGTGGAGGACAGGAGCCCATCCTGCCCAGAGCCATGGGCTGGGGGCAGGACCGCCATCCCCACACCGGGGCTACCCCTGCCCTTTTTTCCCGCAGGTTTGGGGCCGGATTCCCCCGCACAGCAGAACTCCGCCTCGGTGCACAAAGAGTGAGTGGCTTCCTCTCTGTGTCCTGCGGACATCCCGTGTCCCTCTCYTGCTCTCCCGGGGAGCAGGGCCCGGTCTCAGCCTTGCTGGGAGCTGTGCTGTGACCCCCCGTCTGTGTCCGGGGGGTGACAACCTCCACTGCTTGGGAGGGGACACGGACGTCATCCCCCAGTAACCCCATCTCTTCTCACCCCACAGCTTCCAGAAAAAGATCCCAGAGTCTGGGAGAGCTCTCAAAGAGTAAGTGAAGGGGTTCTGTCCCTGCGGCAAGGCTGTGTCCGTGCCCAGGCTGTCCCTGTCCCAGATCCAAAAGCCAGGCTGTCCCCGTGCCCCTCCTGGGTACAGCTCACTCACTGCTCAGTGCCTGGAGGTGYTTCTGTCCCGGGTCCCTTTGGGGASCTGAGCCCTGGGAGGTCTTACACCACCCTGAGGACCTGGCGATAGAGGTGACAATGGCAGAGGGGTGGGACACACAGGTCCAGGACCCCTGCTGTCGTTTGATCCTTTCCTTTCCCGGCTTTTGCAGCAGGAAGCTCCTCGGACAGAGGATGCCCTCGTCCCCGGTAAGTGCTGGAGGCTGTGCAGGGCTGARCACGGTGAGGCCGGGTCCTGCCGAGTCCCCGGCCGAACTGGGACGAGGAGGATGGAGCCAGGAGAGGCGGGCAGGGCTGTGCAGCACCGCTCATCCCCTGACTGTCCCACAGACATGGCAGCTGGGAGCCAGCCCGGTCCTGAAGGACATCTCCCAGCTCCCGGTGCGCAGAGACAGGGGGCGGCGGCGCCGGAGGGAGCCCGAGGATGAGGTGAGTGGGACAGCGAGACCTAGTGGGGCAGAGGAGGGGCAGAGGGTGCTGCAGGAGGGCTTTGTCCCCAAAAAGCTGCAGAAGCTGGGCCAGCGGAGCCGGCTGCCCGCCGGCCAAGGGGCTGCCAGGAAGGATCCCCGAGCCCCCGCCCCACGTCAGAGCTGCCGCTGAGAGAGGCTGGGGGCTCGGGAGGGCACCGGGGATGGGTGACCCCGGGGCTGCCGCTCCAGCCTTCCCTGGASACCTGKGGGTGCGGGAGATGGACGGGCTGGGGGGTCACGGGGACACCCCGTCTCCAAAACTGGAAGGTGCTGGGAGGCGGATGRACCCTGGGTACAGGATCCGCCCCTTCCTGGGGGTGGGAAGCATCTGGTGGSACTGGCCCCCTTCACCATCTCCCCCAAGTCCCCCCGGCTGCYGCCCTGTCCAAGCCCACCGTGCACCGGGGCACACAGAACCCGGTGACCATGTCCGTGGTGAAGGAGGAGGAGGGAAAGCTGGTACGTGGASGGAGCCCCACATCCCCCTCTTGGGTCTCCAAAGAGGACCCTGGGGTGGGGGCTGGTTGGTGAGCAGCACCAGCGCAGGGTCTTGGGCAGGGGGCGTGGGGCGCTTGCCAGACCCCCAGGCAGCTGCAAGAGCTCTCCCCACAGCGTCCGGGCAAGCGCACCCAGCGCCGGCAGCTCTTCCACTTGCCCTCGGTGCCGGCAGTGTCCCCAGCTCTGTCCCARAGTGGGGACAGCCCTCGGGTAGGGACACCTCTGTCAAAGCCACGTGGCAGAGGACGGTGGCGGGCACTTCTGGCCCGGAGGCGTTGGTGGAGCCGGTGGGTGATGGGGAAGGCGTGGGGTGAAACCGAGCCTGTCCCTGGAGAGACTGAGCTGTGCCCCGGCTCTGCCAGAGCCCCTGCTGACATCTGGGCGTCTCTGCTTGGTGCCTCCACAGGGCGCGGGGCTGGAGCCTTCCAGGTCAGTCCGGCTTGAGGAGATAGAGAACCTGCTGGCCAGCGATGACCCGGAACTCATTGGGGACTTCTCCAAGGTAGGGCCATGAGGATGGGGCAGGTCTGGGGGTGCTGCCCCCCTTATTCTGTAATAGGGACCATCATGAGAACCCTGCACCTCTGCAGAAGCCCAAAGKGATGTCCAAAGGGGACCCTTGCTTGGGGACACGGGGACTCGGGACTGTGACTTCCCACCCTGCAGCCCCTGCGGTGGATGAAGAGCCCCATCACTGCTCCCCTGGTCCAGTTCTGTGCCACAGCCACGTGTCCCCTGGGCAGACTGGCCCCCTCCCCTCCTGGGGAGAAGAGCTGGCCACCGGGGTGGCTTCTGGGCTGGGGGGACAGCTGCCAGCCCCGGGACATGTCCGTGTGATGGGGATGATCCCACAACCTATCTCCTCCAGGCTCACCTCCTGCCGATGGTGGAGGGGAAGGACCCGGCCCTGAAGTACATCTCCCCTGCCACGGTAAGGGGGCTGCAGCCCCTCCCCAGGGGCTGCCTGCCCGCTTCCCCCTCTGCCTGTCCTCCGTTGTCCCCTCCCTTCGGTGACACGCTCCCCCCGCAGCTGGCAGCGGTGCTGACGGGGCAGTTCGGCGGCTCCATCGAGAGAAGCGTCGTCGTGGACTGCCGGTACCCCTACGAGTACGAGGGGGGCCACGTCAAGGTCAGAACCACCCCGTGCCCCCGGGCCGGGAGGAAGGGGGGTGTCCGCACCCCAGCCACCCTCGGAGGTGCTGAGCCCATTACGAGGGGTTGAGCAGTTCACCAGGAGGTGCAGAGACCGCTGCAAAAAGGGTTTAATTGTCCATTTCATTGTCCCCCGGGAACAGTTGAGGTACTSCCCGAACGATAATCAGAGCCTGTGAAAGTGCTGAGCTCCCACAGGAGTTGAGCAGCCCCCCACAGTTACTCAGGGAACCCAGAGGGGTGGAGGAGCCCCCTGAAAAGTGTCAAACAACCTCCTCAAGAGTTGATCCCCGACTGGAAAGAGGAGGGTGATGGTGCCCCAGTGGGCTGGGTAATGGTGCTGGTCTGGAGGGCAGCATCCTTGGCTCCCTGCAGGAAATGAAATGGGAGGCAGAGGGGAACAAGGCGMCTCCTTTCCCTCCCCAGGGCGCTGTCAACCTGCCGCTGCAGCGGGAAGTGGAGGAATTCCTGCTGGAGCAGCCTATCGTGCCCCCGGACGCCAGCAGGAGGGTGATCATCATCTTCCACTGCGAGTTCTCTGTTGAGAGGGGCCCCAAGATGTGAGTGATGGCACGGGGGGCACAGTGGGGYTTGCCAGCCCCCCACACACGCCCGGATCCCCGCACGGGCTGATCCCGTGACCTTTCCCCGTGGCACAGGTGCARATTCCTGCGGGAGAGGGATCGGTCCTGCCACGTGTACCCGCAGCTGCACTATCCCGAGCTCTACGTCTTGAAGGGGGGGTACCGCGAGTTCTTCTTTCAGTTCCCGGTGAGTCCCCGACATTCCCCGCTGTCCCCTCGGTGGCAGAGGACCCGTGCCAAGAGGGCAGGGACTGGGGGGGCACAAGGCAGTGCGGAGACGCAGCTCTGGCTCTGAGCATCCTCGCTGCAATGGGAGAGGATCCCCAGCGCCGGGGCTGCGCCGGGAGGCGCTGGGTTTGGCCCGGGGGCTGCGCTGCGGGGGCTGACGGCGCCGTGGGTTGCAGGGCCACTGCGAGCCCCGGGACTACCGGCCCATGGAGCACCCGGCGTTCAGGGAGGAGCTGCGGCGGTTCCGCGGRCAGCGCCGGCTCCGCGCCGGCCGGCGGGTGCTCTTGGCCGCGGGCGGGACCTGCGAGCGCTCGGGAGTCCCGCAGCGCCCCCGGGGAAACGCCGGAGCTGGGAGCTGTTCCCCTGGCCGGGGATGCGCCTCGACTTAGCCTGGTTTGTCAGGATGGGTTTGAGGTGGAATGTAGTGTTAAGATTGGTTTTGCGTTTGTTTACCCTTATAAATAATTTTGTGTTCGTTTATTACAAACGTTTAGTGTTTCTTTACTGTTATAAATATTTTTATGTTCGTTTATTGCTATGAATATTTTGTGTTAATTTATTGTTATAAATACGTTTATGTTTGTTCATTGCTATAAATATTTTGTGTTCGTTCATTGTTATAAATATTTTTGTGTTTGTTTGTTGTTAGGATTGTTAGTTACAGTCTCTTTTAATAAACTCGGATTGAAGGAGAACAAACCGGGCTCCTGAGCTCTCACTGCCCACACCAGGGCTCTGCGGGGATGGGAGCCCCTGATCTGGGGCTGGGGGGATGCGCAGGCTGGGCTGGAGGGATCTGGGGGCTTGGGGACCCTGGGRACAGGGACAGAAGGGGTGTGGTGGCTTCCCCAGGGACAGGGTGCGTGGGGTAGGGGCAGGTTTTGGCCCCTTTGGCTGCTGTTCTGCCTGGTGGGGTGGCCCCAGAATGGCCCTGGACACCCCTGTCCATGGGACCCCCTTTTTAGGGCCTGTTGGGCTTGGCAGGATCTCTGTGACCCGTGGGGTGGTGATATCCCTGGGATCCCCACAGCCAGGATATTCATTTTTTTTAGGGGGTCTCCTGAGTCTTGTAGCCCCTCCCCCCCCAAGGCTGGGACACCCACTGCTGAGGAGGGGACCCTGGGTTCAGTAGCACCCCCAGAACTGTGCAGCCCCATTTTGGGGGTCAGGGCTCAGCAGGACCTCAGGACCATTAACACCCCAAATTCTGGGACCCTCCCATGGTGATTACACCCCCTCTCCATGGGACCCCCACAGTAATGACACCCTTCCTTGTGGAGCTGGAATCATCAGGACCCCTAAGGTGGTGACACCTCATCCCTCTCCCTGGGACCCCCTCATCCCTCCTTGTAGGGTGTTCTTCTGGCCTTTGCAGGACCCCCAGGACTGTAACAATCCTATTTTGGGTGAAAGGGCTYGGTGGGGCCCCCGGGGCTGTGGGACCTTGAAGGGATGGGTGTCCTTAATTGAGGGTCCCCCATTCTGTCCGTGGCCAGTGGCCTTCCAGTGCCAACTGCTTTAGCCACCCTTGGAGTGCCTGTCCTCCCCTCCACCTCCCCAAATTCCTGATGAGTTGATTCCACTCCAAAACTACCCAGAGGAGCTTTTCCATGTGCCCACCAGTGACTCCTTCCCCAGTGGGCTGATGGTGGCCTGGTTATTGGTGTTGGGTCTCACCTTTGCTTTGGTTTGTACCCCACAAGGAATCCAKCCATGGCCAAAATCCCCCTGGCTCCCCATCTTCATCTCCTCAGCCCCCCACTCACATCCTGCTCCATCCCAAGCTGTGAACAGCTTCCCGGATCAGCTCCTTCCTCAGGGAAAATCCTATTTTAAAACCCTTAAAAGGCACATCTGCACACATGTAGGCAAAGAAGCATGTCCTCAATTAAAAAGGAAAAAAGTTTCAGAAGGAGTAAGAAGGGGGCTGTGGGRTACCAGAAAGGGCATTTAATCTGTTCTGAAACTGAGCAGATAGAGCAGAAAACAACAAATGCCAATCACCACTCACAGGAGTAAAACAAAGGACTGCACAAAATGGCAAAACTCAAGACCTCTATTTGAAATCACCTCCAATTTTATTTCTTTGTCAAATCCCCTTTCAGCTCTTAAAATGTTTTAAGGCAGCAGTTGACAATTCTTGAAGAGCATAAAATGTCGCAGAAGTGACACACAGCTTTCCCAGAATTCCTGTTCTTTATATAAATAAATATGTATATTTAAAAAGACATGGAAATTCCCCATGAGCAGAAGGAATCGGTGTTTTCTGACACCCAAAGGCAGATCCTTTTCCTCAAGGAACATTTCCTCCATAAGATGGGCATCAAAACATCCCTCTGAGCCACGGACAATATCTTTCCTAGCATCTCTGGAGTTTCTTGAGAGAGGGATGAAAAATGATCCCCTGGCTGRAAAAGCAGTTCAGGAATTAAGATCAGATTATTGTCTTTCAGAAGCTAATTTGCTCTTGAACTCTTGTTTAAAAATAGTTATAGTAAAGACACCAAATGTGAAACTTTTTGGGGACTCAAATGCGCTTTAAAGTAATCGTGGAATTCAAAAATCGTCCATGGCATCAAGTGCACAAAAAAGCAAGACTCAAAAGGAGAATCTTGTTTTTGAACTATTAAAAGGAATATTGCTGAGTTTCTAAATCAAATATTTTAGCAGGAACCCTAAGTTGAAAGGGAAAAAATAGCAACAAACCCAAAGAAATAATCTGTGCAGTCAGTACCTCAAGTTTTAATCGTCAGTATTCTGTCTGGTTAAAGAGGCACATTACACAAGAAAGTTAATTGAGGTAAAATTTAGACAACATGGAAAACAGGTGTGGAAAATGTGTTTTGAAAGTACTAAATACAAACAAACAAATAGGTAATGTTCTTTAGGCTCATTTCAGGACCAAACCCTACACAAAACAGCATTCAATAAACCAGCACCAGTTTCCAGGTTGCCATTCCTCCTCYGGATTTTCCTACAATTCTGTCTCTGGTTCAAGATGTTCCTTTTTTCCAGAAATACTTGAATGGCTTCAAAAGATGTCTTAAAAGCAGGCCAAAAATCTGAGGGATACCAATGAAGCTGAACAGTTCCTCAGCCAGGGTGGGGATGCACATTTTCTTGTTACCCCTTTCCAGTTTGTGCTGAAGACTGGCCAAGCTGCTCACCCACCTGGAGCTTAAATGGTTTCCARCCTGAAGGAATAGCATATTAAATTTCTTTTCCAAAAGACTATGAACAAGTTGAMAAATCAGATTTACTGGTATAAAACTGAAAACTAAAAATTCGCTATCTTGTAATAATGCCTTTAATTATATAAGGAAAATAGTGGATGAACCCAAAGCAAACTTCTGAAATTCTTAAGTTCTGCAGTCTGGAGATTTAGTAACTCTTCAGGCTTGGTCATACCCAGCAGCTCTTCTGAGAAATGATTTCCATTCCCAGCAATACTTGAAGCCATGAGAGGCTTATAGAATTCTTAGAATAATTCGTATTGTATATGATTCATGATTTCTAAAAAAAGCCTCTCTATACTTTTGAAACTCCCAAGAAAGATTAAACAAGATACAACATTATTATTGGACATGAAATAATTAAATTTATTGTCACTTTCCAAGGAGTGCATCCATGAGGGCAATTTGCAAAACTTGCTGGTTTTGAAATGCATCAGATGTGCTCTGCACATCCCTGTGTGTGATCTGTGCAGCTGGATAGTGATGTTGTGCTAGATTTAACTCTTTTTTTATCACTTAACAAAGAGGATATATGTATTTCCTAGAAAAGCTGCATGATTCTATATATATGTAAAAATATTCAGTTTTCCCAGAAAGTTGTTTTGCAAAATTACCCAAATAATTTCCCATAGAAAATGACATAGCTGGTGCCATGGTAATGTAGACAACTTTTAAATAGACATGTTTCCATCTCTTCCAGGTTTTGAAAGCATGCTGCTTTTTTCCCCATGTCTTAAAAGAGTATAAATTAAAAGATCTGTTGCTTGGATACATCTGCAGGCTCCCTACGAGGTGCACATAATTGTGGCGCCACTTGATAATTTCACTTTGTAGCTGTTTCTCCTGTTTTGTGGCTGCTGGACCATCTCCAGGGGCAACGAGTGGACATWAAAAAACTCATAAAAGCAGCAAATTATTAGACACTTCTTCAGGAAAAGACCTTCAGAAGGGGTCTTACGGTTTTGGTAATCTTGCACTCATGACAACTGAGGCACCTTCCTTTAACAGGTGGAAGGAAGAAAGGAAAAAAACCCACCCAATATATTCAGTGAACTGCATGGAATATTCCTGAACACTTCTGCAGGTTATTTCATTCACCTACAATTCATCTACAGAGAATGTCACAGCAGCATGCTATTACCTTAATTGTCAGTTAGGCAAGCACTTTAACCACAATCCAGTAATTGTGTTCCACCATTTCCCTCAGAGACACAGAAAAATGGGAAAACAGAAAGAAATTTTTCTCTACACCGGCTGTAGGGAAATCATTAAGTGACCACCCCCTACMATTTTTATGCTACATTAACCCCTGGAGGTGACATTCGCAGAAAACTGTTCAAAGYGGTTCCAAAACAAGTATTGTTTTCTTTTTCCCTCTTATTTTCTTTTAGAAAGTTACAYTCCTTAGTGTCATAGAGGTCGCCTTAATGCATCACTAAGGCCATAACACAGAACAGGATGTCTGAAAGAATAGATAATCATCATAATAATAGTGATTTTAAAGAAGCTTTTCCTCTTCAAATAGACTTTTGCTACTGCTTCTCATGGAACTTCTGTGGCAAACTCTGGAAGCTTTTCTTTTACTGCATATGAACTAGATACAGACTTGCCTGAGAAGTYTCTTTTTCAAAGTTCTTGATTACTTTTTCAGCTGAAGAAAATACATTTCTTTCCCTCAGTAGAGAGGAATTAATATTTAATGTTTAAATTTTGCTGATGTCAGCCAGATGTCACTCTTAGTAATATGCTCCCACCCTGCGTGGCCTCGTGCCTCTTCTGTCCCCCCTCTCATCATAGCATYGGAGGCAACCACAGCTCGAGCTCAGAACTGATTTCCAGATTTCATCTTGTGGATTTTGGATGCATTCAGCAGTGCCCCAGTGCCCCATTTTCAGCTGCCTCCTAAAATGGATCTTTATCATGAAATCGAGCATTTTCAGCTTGCACAACTTAATTACATTGAATCACGGCGCATTAGTGGGATTTAGAGGTACATTTTAGATGTGATAATGGTTATTTTCTATTAACATGCTCTAATCATTAGCAAAGTCTTGCTCACAGTGATTGTTAACCCTTTAAAAGCCGGGGCAAGTCGATGTCATGTACAAGGTGCACTTAGAAGGAAACCTGCTGTTTGTTCATAGTGTGAAAGCACTGATGAAAAAATAAAGTTATTGCCCAATATCTGATGTCCTGTTAAAATGGGGGGGGGGGGGAAGGATAATATCAAAGCAAATAATGTTTCAATAAATTTCAGGAAATATTGCCACACCAGTTTGGCTCTGCAATATCCTCCCCAAAYAATTCCATTTGCTTCAACTTTTGTGTGTGTTGAACCACATTTGTTCTTCTGGGACATCCTTGGCCTGCTCTT